ACAACTGTGTATACGTAGAAAATCTGTGAAAGAAACACTGTACATGTTCATTATATTCACATCATTAATTACTTGAAGTTCAATATAATTAATTATTTGTAAGAAACACAGTCCCAAACAGATCTTAATTTAGCTTTATAATTCAGCAGATTCCTAATCTATAATGGATCTCCATCAGCCATCAGGGGCACATCTCCAAATGGTAAAAGGAGAAGGTGGAAAAACTCCAATTTTGCTTGAGGCTGCCGCGTCAAGGGTTCGAATCCTGAAATATGGATTTGGCCATTGGGTAAGTGCAAGTGTACAAACGATCTTCCATCATGTACCCTTAGAGGCATAATCTGTGATTTACCTCATTCACCAAGATTCAAGACAGGATAGGTGGGGGTCGTCAATGATGCGATTCATCCTTTAAAACGGATCTCCATCATGTCTGACAAATGATCAAAACGTATGTAAAATATTAATTAAGATAATAATTAGTTTAATAATGAGTCCCCATCAAATTGCTTAAATAATCCATCTGACACTGAAAAATTATTGCTCATTATCTTTATCTGACACAATTCACAGGAACACCGTTAACAAGTGCCCACTTTCTTTAATCATTCATCCATTTTCTTTAAAAAAATATATATTTTTGTTTTAACCTATCACAATTTCTCACTCTCCTTAGTTATGTACTAATTGCATAATTCATTAACTTGTTAAAAGTTGTACAATTCTTTCAATTACTGTAATTTTGGATTTCATGCGTAACAAATACTGTCATTGTTGATGTTGAAATTTTTGGTTATTAAGCTCTTGTTTGATGGGGATGAAAATCAAGATTTTAATTCAAGTCAAAGTCAACATTAATTTTAATAAAATATTTCATGAGATACGATCTTTTCAATCCAATATTTCATCAACTTTTATCAAAATCTAAAAATCACCTCGTCTTTATACCGGCATATGAGAATTTCAACCTTTCCTTATACGGGAACATAATTCTCTCGCTTGTTGGGCCCTAACTGGCATTTTCTCGGCCCCGTTTGCGGACTAATTTTATTCCTCACCAAACAGGAGCTAAGTAGCTTGACAAATTAACTTTTCAACTTTCAGTCGTGTGTGATTTTAACATTTATGTTCATAGTTTGTGGTACGTGAAAATTCAAATTAAACTATTAAGATATGTTGAAAACCTAGAACTTCATTTTAAAAAGTTAAAAGGATCCAAAAATATACTAATTAAAAAGTGAGAAACCCAACACTAATATCTCTCAAGTTAATAAAACATTAGCACGGTCAATGTAGAGTCTTGGCCTCGATTTGGTCAAACTAAGTGGGAATCTTGCTTCTGAGAATATATTTATTATCAATATATATTTGCAGTGCATTAACCTCGATTTATGGTGGAATGCAGCAAGTGTCCATATATTAAAATTATTACACATTCAATCAAATTGATTCCATTTAAGAAGATGGACTTAATTCAAAAACTTATTAATTTTATCATAAGTCAATTATTCGTATTTTGTTAGAAGACATTAATATTTTACTTGTAGCTGATTATGAGATTATTTTTCTATAAAAAGAGGGTAGTCGATGGGATGGTTATCGGAGATCATTTGGGTGTGATGACGGCGATGCAAAATAAACTAGCGGCCCGTCCATGAGGATGCGTATGCTATTATTGGACGGAATGGCCAAGGAAATAACTTTATGGTTCAGGTTGTTGAGTGTGAATTACTTTGAGCTATTCAAAATTTTCGATCAAAATTTCGTAGTCCTCCAAATAAAGCTCTTCTTTCTAATATTGTATATTTATTAACAACGTTAATCGTGGTTATTGTTACTTAATTCGTCCCGAGAGGAATAAAGTAGCTCATGATGTAGTGTCTTTTGTTTATTAATTTTGGATATTAATTATCGGACTTTCTTTTTATTGTCTATAGTTTGTGGTTATAAATTATATTACTTTATAAATAATAAAATAAAAAATAAAAAAGAGTGCTCCTGGTAGTCATAAAAAAAAAAAATCAATCAATACTACATTCTATATATTAACTAAAAAAATGAATTAATTTTCCAAAATTCAAATTCCTCTATCATTTGCCTTGCTACCTTCCTCAGTTAAAAATGTTAGCAATTGTAATCAACACATGCATGTCCATGTGCAGTGCAGTGCAGTGCAGTGCAGTAGGAATTTTTAATTCCTAGAATAAATATAATTTAGTGGTGTTTAATTATTAATTGTCACACTCCTAAAACTTTTCTATATTTGAAATCTAAAGTCTTTTAGAGTTTAAATAAATGCTTCAAACTTTACTTTTTCTTTTATCTTTTTGATGCCATATAATATTAAAATAATATTACAAAGCACTATTGATACTTTACCTTACTAATTCATTATTCATGTAATGTGACATTTAACGACAAAATAAAGTGTCGTTTCATTTCACTTCCCACATCACATGAAATTACCTCAAGTAGGCTCGAGGAGCAAATAAAATTATTCTAAAATCTTAATAAACCCTGTTGCTCTCTGCTTCTATTTGGTATAGGTAAAAATCAAATTTTTTTTTTTTTTTTTGTAAGTTTTAATAAAAGCTAATGAAATAAGTGGTTGATAAAAGTTGTGATTCCAATAAAAAGTAAATTTTAAAAATAATTATTGATTGACATAAAGTTTTATCATCTTTTAAGTTACATCAAACAGAAGCTATATATTTCAATGCGATGAATAATCTAATGAGCATCAATACTCTTTTTGTACTAAACATTAGTGACATGGCATATTAACCCTTCGTTTGGCCTCCATTATTTGAAATTATAATTTTTAGAATAGGGTTTTTTTTGGAGAGTGTGTGATTGAAAAAGGAAGGAAATTTTTTTGAATTACGTGTAATATTATTTTATGAAGAAAAATACTATTCATCCCCAGTTTACGTGAATGTAAATGATTGGTTAAATGATAAGTGAAATTAAATGACTTATTTAATTTCACCTATTATTTAATGCCTCATTAACGCCACATAGACTAGGGATGCATCCTCACTGAGGATGAATAGCATTTCTCTTTTATGAAAGATTGTGTGGTTAA